CAGATAAATGAAAAGTGGTAAAGTAAAAGAAATATCGCTAAAAATAAACTGAAAATCAGTTTTAAGCAATAACTAAGCATACTTAATTAACTTTTGAAAATACGAACATCTACAGATTTTATAACAAATTATACAAAAATGTAGTTTTTGGACCTTTACGCAAGTACCAAAGTAAAAAATTAAGTAATATACGTATGAATAATTTTAGTAGCGGAGAACTTAACGGGTTACCGGGGCTCCTGCTCGACGTGGAGAAGGAACGGGGTGGTTTTTAGTCAGTAAAAGTCTGACACTCCGTCCCGCCTCACCCAGGCGGGAGCAGTCATTCGATGATTTTCCCCCCTTAAAAAAAATTATAATTTTAAGCAGTTTAAGGACCGATAGCGCTATGTGGTTTCTGCTTAGCCCTATGGGACAAAGGCAAAAAGTAGCAACCACGTTATCCACCCTAAGCTTGTAACCCTGAATATAAGTACTTGAGATAAAGTAAAAAAATATGTCAGCTCACTATAAAATCCCTCGTAATATACTTAATATAAAACCAGGCCATTGCTTACCTTGACCTATTTATGAGGCTGGGACTCAGTCGGACGACCGGGACCGGGAGGTTTTACCTCTCCAGCCAGATAATAACCTTTAAAGTTAACACTACGCTTATTATACGGAACTCAACCTTATTTGCAACATAATACAGTTCTGAAAAGTATTACATTACAAATCAAATAGTAAAGGAAAATATCGTATGAAAATCTGACTTTGTAACAAAGTAGGTAACTCTTTTTCAGGCCCGTATCTTATCTCTAATACCATTACAAACGGATCACTTAATAACAATTTATTACACGCATGTGACAATAGGTTAGATGACTAATTTTTATTTTAATTTCCGTCTGGTACATTATTTTAAAACATTACACACGTATTTTTTTACAGAAACGAATACTTTCGACTATATTAGAGGTATATTGATTTGAAAATGTCGCGTGACGTCACTTCTATATACATTTTATACGTAGAAATGACGTTTTAGTCCCCACTCTTAAACTTTGTTTCGTTTTATCTAAGTATCATTTTTTTAACCGACTTCCAAAAAAGTTAATTTCCTAACTGACGGACTAATTAGATTTTTAATTTTCATACCTTGTCATCATCCCAATTGTTCGAATGAGAAATTGGACGCACTATTCTGCCCCCGATAGGAAAAAAGACGCATCTAACATTTTTTACCGATTTGAGTTATATACTTTGCCGGAATCAGAAAAAAAAGGCGCATCTGCGTGTATTTTTAATATTTTCCTAACTCCCTTCGTTACGGTTTTAGCACAACAAAATAGGTCGCTTCTGTTCATTTTTTTACACCCGATTGAAGATGAAAAGACGAATTTATGTGAAACTTAGTTAAAAAGTCGCTATTATGTAGATAATGTCCTAAGACTTCACAGTTTTTATTTTAGTTCAATAATATAAAAGGCGCATATTTGTCCGTATTTCTAAGAGGAAGTTAATAAGACGTAAATAAGCATTTGCGTCTAACGCGCTAATAAAAAACGGCTTTCACATTAAGAAAAAAAGACCACATCTGACCACTTGCGCCCTATTTATTTCGTAAAATTGTTTTAGCTTAGACGCATTTGCCATAAGCGTCTTAATACTTTACGTTAAATACAAAAATACTATATGATACTAAATAAAAAAGGCGCAAGTGTGCAGAAACGTCCTTTTGTCCTAAAATTGTAAATCAAGCGGGGATTGCGCGGGGGTCAGGCGGAGTATGTTTAGTACAGTTGCGTCCGAGTAGGTTTTAGGAGCACGTTGACGTGTCGCGGTCGCGCAATTTTTCGCTGCGTGATTCGTCGAAACAAAGTAAGTATTTGTATTTTTTATTTGAAAAGTTTTTTGTTGTTTGTGTGTACATTTTTACAACCGTAGTGTGCCAAATAACAATACAAATTTTTTAAGACTTGTTTTAATAGAAATTAAATAATAACAATGTCTTACTACTTAACTAACTACCTAATTTATGCACCCTACTATACCTATATATGTATAGTAAAATCAATAAATTAAAGTAAATACTTATTTAGACGTATGGAAATTATTTCATTCATAAACATTTTTATTAGGTACTTACATTATATCATTTCTTTGAATAGATTTTTAATACATTAGTGATACTAACTGAAGTAAGCTTTTATAGAGTTATTCTTACATAATTATGTGTTCTTTGTGATCATATTTTTGTGCTTTTTTAAATTTTCGTTTAATAAAAGTAAAGTTTGATGTCCGTTATATTGCTTGCAAAGACTTAACGTGCTTTATAACGCTTTTTTACTGCATTCTAACACTATAACTGTTGTTACAGGTAAAACTAACTTATAAAAGGTCGATGCTTTGAGTTACTCACTAAAGCTTTAGCGTCCACAAGTACGGAGAGTACCAATAGTAATCCCTTAATTAACGACCAACGCCCTTACCAATTAAGCTATGGTGAAGAAATTAACCACGTCTCCACAACTGACAGTGTTCTTCCACATAAAATTTGCGATAATACCATCACTGCAGCCAATATTAGTAGCAGCAGCAGTAGCTCAACAGTAAGTGACTTTGACTCTGATGATTCAGTTTTCGACAAAGATTACACTCCACCACAAAGAAAATACAACAAAAGTAGTGTTAACGACTCTGATTCAGATTTCGATTTCATAGAGAACTCACAACAAAACCACATTCGTGTATCAGAGTCACCTGAACGAGAAGATTTTGAACCTGAAAATCAAACTGACCAGGCTTCTGAAAATGTAATCCAACTTACCAAAAAAGGAAGTGTACGTAAACGCAAACATTACGATACTTCATTGCGAGAGCGTACTAAAGCTAAGAAAGAGTTGAAGACTATTACCAAGTATGGCGTTAAGCCGGGCTGTGGCGAAGAATGTAAAAAAAGTGTTCTTCAAAAATATCGGAAACCAGCGAGGTATTATAAATAAGCAGTTTCGTAATTTTACCTGGAGAGAACAGTACATATACATAATTAATAACACATCTCAAAGTTTGAGATGTGTTATTAATCAAACTATACTGGCCAGGCGAACAAAAAAAATCCTAACTCAAAAGTAATTAACCGAGGCAAAACTATTACATATTTTATATTGAATGAAAATAATGAGAAAGTAACGGTGTGCAAGATTTTTTTTTGACAACTCTTGGGTTTGAAACTATTTTTGAAAACTACATAGAATTATTAGCCTAAGAATGTTGTTTTGTTAAGACGTGTTTGTTATAATAAAGTTATAAGAGATAGTTATGGTTATAGATTTGTATCTATTGAAGACTGAATGCTAAACTTAGCTAAACTTTAATACATAATGATTGATTATAAATTTATGTGCCATGGTTAGCATTTTTGTATATGTGGGTCAAAAGTTTTTTAAATAAATACTTGACTATATCAATTGTGTTTTATTTACAAATATTAAACTAGACTATGGCTGTGATAACGACAAACCTACGACTGTACTATTTCAGATATACTACCTTAAATAAACGGATTATTAAATCATTTTACAAACATTTCAACTAAGTTAAAGGTTATCTACCTACTTTCTAATTCTTAAGAAAAAAGGCGGAAATACCTTTATGCGCCCATTTCTCTTAAAATCATAATATATTAGATAGATAAACTAAACGCTTAAAAGAAAAGTATATAGCCAAAAGCGTTTGAAATTTAAAGGACGCATCTAGCCATTTACGTCTATTCAGTTAAGTATGTAATATTTTTCTTCATTTTTTATGCTAAGATGAAACTGTTTTTTAATTATTTTAATTATAATAATTTAATAAATTCAAATTATTACAAAACCAAATTAAAGCCAATACTAGTAGGCATTATTTTCAAGTTATAGTATGTAAATATTTTAATTTATTTGAAGACAGCAAACGATTTCCCGTTTTAATCATTAAAACATTAATTTCTCCATTTTTACTTTTTGTTAGATACGTCTTTTTAACTATCGGGGGCAGTATTAAATTGCCACATGATTGTTAACAGAACTGGAATAAATATAATCGAATGACCACAGCTCATCATGTTTTATTTAAGTTATTTTCAGATACTGGTTGTAGTTTTAAAAACCTCTATAAGCGCACTGCGTCTGTAGTCTGAGTTAATTCTCAAAATATGAAAGATTTAAAACACCACAGATATATTAATTATTTTTATATTTTTATATCTATTTACAACTCTGACTTTATCACAAGTATTATCACATATGTATCTGTGTAAAGGTCACTATATAAAGAAAATCAGGCGTGATGATCATGTTTACCATTGCGTCAACTATCAATTCTCACTTGTATGACAATTGTGAGAACAAATATGAATTTCAAAGATTATTTGGAAAGGATTTGTAAACTGAAGGATAATTGAATTATAACAGTCAGTTAAGGTGATATCAGACGGTTCATTCGAATAAATATTTACCGCAGTGAATGTTTTATTTATCTATCATTCCATGTTCAGACCATTTTAATGGAATAATAAAGAAAAGAACGTTCATTCATTATTTTTTTTAAATATGTCATCGAGTGATGTCGTATTGGAATCAGTTTAATTTGAGATCATCTAATCAAATTCAAGTTAACGTTCACTCTGTGTGCAGATAGTTCATTTTTGTTCATTCGGAGTGGGAGTGAATGATGCAGAATGCCAAAATGCAACATCGTTGGATTGGTTCACTAATGAATTCATTCTGCACTCTTGTGTCATTCTCATGTTCAGACATATCATTTTACGTGAAAGATGCCGAATAAAAGACAAAAATAAATCGTCTAATATCACCTTTAACTATCCAACTTTCGGTGTCAAAACCAAGATAAAATCATTAGTTTACTTCGATTTCATGCATCAATTAATTCTTGATCCATGAAATTGTATTACAAACTCACAACAGTCCTTATAGCCATATCTTGCATTTTTACGACCAAATAAAATGCCTCCCATTGCAATTTCAAAATCTGATTTTATTGTAAAGTATAAAAATATGTTTGTACCAAATGTTTATTCAACAACTGTACCATTCAAAATAAACTGTCATTAACCTGCAGTTTATAGTAATGAGGTACAAATTACTGTGATAAAAAAGAACTATGAATACAGTTCTACCACGAATTGACATTTTATTATATTAGTCGAGGTCATGCCATTGTGCATTGTTATTGTTGACCATATTTTGACGCGAAATAAAACTATCTACATAACTATATGTACACGTTCCCTCAACACGTTTCATATACTTCCCAAAACTCACTGAATGAAAAAATCGTCGAATGGTTTTTCACTAATTCCTCATTGTTCAATGCCTCACACATCTTACAGTACTCATTGGTCTCCTTGAGCTTCGTCGTCCTGTGGTACGAATAGTACTTTCTCCACCTGAAGAACTCGGCGTAAGCACTTGGTTCCTGAATCAAGCTATATATCAACTCAGCCAATTGTGGTACTCCCATATCCCTGGCGTTCAAATACGATCGGTCTGGCAGGAACCTGTGAACAAAATTTAAATTTTAGTACATTGATAACAATGGTTAATTTTCCAGTTATTTACTTGGAGGTAGATTGAAATCTAGGACCTTATAGGTGCAACATTAGGAGAATAATTACAAAAAAAAGACCGTGTTTAACTTATAATTATAATTCTTAATAATTATTATATTTTTAAATTACTTAGCATTTGCAGATCCACTATATTAAAAGATGTTGACACAAATCCACAATGCACATAGAACAACCATTACTGTACCTGCTATAATTAGCACCTCCATAAACAATGGGCACTGCATCATTTTGTAGGGCATGCAACAACTTCTCCGTGACATAATCTTCACTGAAGGAATTTTCAAAGGATAAATAAAAATAATAGTCCTTGGATAACATTGCAGCACATTCCTTTTCTTTATCACGAGGACAAACGTTCGATCCACATTCTCCATAAACATCAACATCTAAAGAATAGTTTTCTTGCAACTCCTCTCTAAGATGTATTACATAGTCTTCGCGGCGACTTCTTGAACGACAATTCGAGACAAACCATGCAACAGCCTTGCGTTTACCCCTTAGATACAGCTTGTAGGTTTCATCTACTGGATCCATATCCTTCCACGGTATCCAATGCATGTTTTTGTTGGGACCAACAATATTGCCCTTAGCATCTTTCACCACAATGTAGCCCCAACGAACGTCAGAATCCAATTTATACGTCCACGTCCAATTAAAATACGAATTGAAATTGTGAATACACAAGGGATAGTTCCCTGGAGATTCAGTGCTTCCAAATACGTACTTTTGATATGGCAACCGTTCTTTAGGCAATGATAGGTCGTCATATATTAACTCGGGCCCCGCAAACATAACCACGTCGTATGCTGTAACACTGCCCAATTCACTTGCATCGGCACTAACATAACAATTAGTATATTCACACTCTCTTCCGATAAATCCAGTTTGTCCTAAACCCATGTGCGCAAACGGTATATTCTCATGATTGGTCCACTGTAAAATGTACTTCATTCCTGGTTTCTTAGCATTAAACTGTTTACTTTTTAACAACGCACTTCGAGAAGACATATATTTTTTAAACATAGTTATGAAAATAAATGAAAATAATGCAAAAATAATTATTTTACTTGTAAATTTTCGCATTTTTTGCATTAATTGATTTGTTTTAGGTAATTTTGATAAGTTCACCGTTGAGCCGACCGCGACCGTTTGCTTGAGTTGAGTATAATCGTTCGTACCGCTCGTAAGTAGTGTTGGGATTTTATCCGATTAAATACTCAAACTGGATAAATACTCATTAAATATCCATTTTAGTGTAGTAAGAAACGCATTGGTTCGCTGCTTGGTCAAGAGATTAGAACTAACAATAACGTTTTAACATTGTATTTTGAAAATCCCGACAACCATTACTAGTTAATGTTAGTAAAAAAGACACACAATTTGAAAAAAATATAAATATCCATAATTTCGAATAAATGTCCGGTAAAAACGGATAAAGTCAAAATTTGTATCCCCCGAGTATTTATACTCCGCCCATCACTAGTCGTAAGACGCTAATCACAACCTCTCGTCTCTTCGATACTGACTGCCGACCGATACTACGTATAAAGGTTCAACAACTCCTAGTACTGCGATTTGTTTGTGTATCAAGTTATGAATCGACTGGTTCGTATTGTCAAACAGGTTGTAGGAGTGACATTTTGTTATCGTTTCTATTTCAGTGATGTATATTTTATACCGTTTTAACTGGAATTTTCTTACGCATATAATATTACAGGTATTGCATAGTTGCGTACTGAAAGGTTATTGTTAGTGTTACGTACTGCATTTTTTATTACTCTCCACGATATGTACCTATCATAATAAAATACATTAACAGTCGTGCTAGAATCATTGTGATAAAAAATACAAATGTGATTTACATTCAAAATTCAGATGCAAGTAAAAATTAATAGTTCAGCGATTAATTAGTTACTATATGTAGTACCTGGATGACCGAGCTTTGATCGGTGTTTTTTTTAATACATTAACGACTTTTTTTGAAAATGAAATCCAGGTAGATCGATTTATCGCCCACGAAATACAAAGTACGATACGAAAGTTTCTAGACAATTGTTGGAGCCGTTTCCGAAATCGTTAATATGTAAGTTAGATCAAAAGAGTTCGGCTGCATATAGATTTTTAGACTGCCATCTTTTCACAAATCACAATTTGTTTCGAATCGGTTTGAGATTTAGGTTATAAAAAATTTAAAAAATATTTTTCTAAACCAATTATTAAAGTAATGTGAAACCAGTTATCAATTCTTTTTTTTGACAAATGACTGGTTTAAATAATATCACCGAATTAACATTAAATTCAGCACATGATGTAATATACTTATTAGAATTAGATATGTGAAACAAATTGTCCTTGATTTTCTCAAATCATAATACAATCGTGAAGGTGAGGCTACTGTGTATACAGCTGTGACATTCACTACAATAAACTGTTCCAATGCTACAAAATATATTTTAATAGTGTACTTCATAAAGGGATTAAGAATGACGAAACGATTTTAAAACATATTTAAACTTATTGCTAGGTAAATAAAGTCGAGGACCACGATAAGTATGTCCACCATCTTTCAAGTGAACAAATTACCTAACCGGTGCCTGCTTAACATCAACTCGATCCCTGTGCATCTTTAAAATATTGCTAAGTTATCTTTATCAGTATGCGTATACTTCTAATTATTGATTTAAAGAATTTTTTGCGTTATTTTACAATACTTTTGGCATATTTTTGCTTGAAGCCGGGTCAGTTGATTAATATAAATAGTAATGGTCACAGTAACTAACATGACATAACATAACATAAAATAACATCACGCCTTTTATCCCCGAAGTAGGCAGAGGTGCATACAGAAGTAATACCCACTTTTCACTATTTATGTTACAAGTCCCAAGTAATAGGGGGTGAGCCTATTGCCATATACCGGGCACATTTCCAGACTCCGTGCTACTACTGAGATTTTATTGAAAAACCCCAGTAATACTTTGCCCGACCCGGGAATCGAACCCGACCCCCCTTGCTCGGCAGTCGCACTTGCGACCACTCGGCCATCGAGGCAGTCAACACCTGTCTTAGACATGAATTTTGAGATTTAAAAAAATTATGTCAAGATTTTACGTCTACTTTCATGCAGTAGTGCAACGCAGTCATGGGTTCCATTTTCGTAGGTACGAATGTTTTCTTTATTATAAACTCAAATTGGTATTCCAATTTGGTACTGATAAAAAAAATATTTTTATAAACGCACTCTTTTTTTTAATAGAAAGGAAAGAAGTATCCGTGTCGTCGTTATCAGTGTCAATAATGAGACTTTATCTAAGTCCACTCAATCTACAAAATGCTTCGACTTCGTAATCTAGGTTAATTGTATGAGACTTCGTTTTAAGAACATTTCAAATTATCTTTATTAGGTACAATACCAAGCACTTACCTCTTGTAATTCACGCTATTTTACTTTGATATTAAATTATTAAACATCTTCATAGCAAGACTGTTTTCATTGATATTCTCCTGCAGAAACTACACATTTTCCAGCACAATAAGCTGTCAGTCAACCAGCTTAAGGCCTATTTAATAGACTCTTATAATTCATTTCCCATGTGCCAATTATATACAAATCGAATTAGTAGTTTATATGTGAAAGAAAAACAAAAGTTGGTACATAATATTTATGTACCTTGATACATTCTCCATTCTCATGTAAAATGCAATTTATGGTAATAGGGTAGGAAGTAAAATTGCCTCGTTGGCCGAGTGGTATTGAGCAAGGGGTCCACGGTCGGGCAAAGTATTACTGGGTTTATAAATTCTCAGTAGTAGAATGGAGTTTAGAATTGTGCCCGGTATATGGCAAAAAGTTCACCTCCTATTACATGGGACTCATACCATAAGTAGTGAAAAATGGGTGTTACATTGTACAGTGCTATTAAGTGGCGCTATATGCCACTCTGCCTATCCCTTCAGGGATAAAAGGCGTAATGTTATGGGAGGAAGAAGAATATTTTTGGAAAGATGACATCGCTTATTAAATATCTCAATGATTTCCATGAGAGATCTGGAACTTGAGACCTGTATTAAGCTAAAAACTGTTTTTCACGTTTCATACTGTAATCCAATGTTATCAGTAAATAATAAAATCGTTAAAAACTTATCTGTGAGCCAACGCACGAACTATGTGATAACAATTTCTGTATCAATATAGTTATCGATCGGATCTGGTAAAAAGGTACCACGTTTTTTATTAATATTGTATAGTACTTTCCTGTATTGCTACATTTAGTATAAACTGCAGCAAGCGAAATATTATAACTAAGAAGTGGTTATGTTTAATCATTTGGATAAAACTTACTTAAAAAATGTGTTAGAAGGGCGCAATATTCAGCACCTTCCGGGCGGTGTCCACCAATTTTTGAAGTCTTTATAAATCGTTGTATTTTTTACCATTTCTTCGTTGTTCAATTGAGTGCAAAATAAACAATATGGTAAAGTATGAACGCTTTCATGCTGCCCATGATACGTGTAATGATTTTTCCATTTAAAATATTCTGCATATTTTTCCGGATCATTAATCAACTCGTTCATTTTTGCTGCTAATTCCTCAATTGACATCTTTCTAGCATCTAAGTAAATGCCGTCTGGCATAAACCTGAAAACGTACATAATTATTTATTAAAACATAACTGCCTAAGTGTAACGAAGAGCGATTAATTGTACCTATGATTTATTTATTTAATACCTTGTATAGTTAGCTCCACCGTAGACTATAGGTACAGCATTAAAATTTAATGCGCGCACTAATTTCTCCGTAACGTAGTCTTCGCTAAATGAATTTTCAAACGACAAATAAAAGTAATAGTCCTTTTTAATTAAATTATCGCAATTTTCATCATTGTCACGTGAACATGAGTATTGTCCACATGAACCGAATACATCCACACTTAAGTTGTATTTATTTTGCAATTCTTCGTCAAGTTTTTTAGCAACAGTCGATCTTCGGCTTCTGCTGTAACAGTTTGATACGAACCAAGCTGCAGCTTTTGTTTTTGTCCTTAAGTTTTGTTTCAAATCTTCACTGACTGGTTCCATGTCTTCCAACTTTAACCAATGCATCTCCTTGTTCGGACCAACGATATTTTTATTTTTATCTCTGATGACCATATATCCCCACCGTATTTCAGAATCTAGTTTATAAGTCCATGTCCAATTGAAAAATCCGTTCAATAAATTAGAACAGGTTGGATAGTTATCTGAAGATTCAATACTTGCAAATGCATACTTTTGATGTGGAGATCTGTTCTGTGGCAGTTGGTTCTTGTTATAACGAACTACTTCAGGCCCAGCAAAAGCTATGACATCAAACTTTGTGTAATCACCGAGGTAATTTCGATCTGATGTGACAAAACAGTTGGTGAATGGACATCCTCTACTAATAAATCCTTCACGGCCCTTCCCCATATAAACGAAGGGAACATTATGTGGTAATGTCCATTGCAATATATATTTAATATTGTCTTTACTTGTCACATTTCCACGCACTTCACTATTTACTACTGTTTGTAATTCAACAACACTTTTTCTACTTGAAACTCTTTCATGGTTTGAAATAATTTGATGGCTGTCCTTAACTGTTTTGGCGGCGTTGTATAAGAGTAGTAAAATAATCATCACTGCTATGAAAAATATAGCTTTCTTTGTGCACCAAGCCCTCATGGCTACGATTATTTTTATAAACTATGTATCGACACTGTGCGTTGTGCTACCTCTGATTATGAGCGACTGGCAATGAAGAGCTGTAGTATGTGTGTCACGCACCTAATCGTGATTGTTTATCAGTGTATATATGTGTGTGTAGTGATTTTCTGAGTACATCAGGAATGTACTAACAACAATCCATACTTTAATGTACTATAATATTATAATCACTGTTTATGTCTGTTTATTTCAATAAGAATATAGAATTAAGACATACGAAATTTCTGTTTATATTTTTTTTTAATAAATTATTTATTATTATGTATTATTTTCCATATATTTATTTAAAATTCTCTATAAATTACATTTTTAAATACTACTTACAAAAAAATAAAAAATAATATTTAAAAATATAAAAAATAGGAGCCGACCAGTAGCGGGAGCATGGTCCAAGCTACCGGTGGTTAGGGCTCCAGAGACAGATACCTCCTCACAATGCGCGCCGTTTCAAGGAGAACTGCCTTCTGTATCAGGAGCTTGACCCAACTGCCTAACGCTAGCCTCCTAAGGTGGTTGTCGAGGCTATTAGGGAT